TACCATCAGATGATCATGGTCACTTACCTGTGTTTCTCCTACAAACAGAGTGCCAGTGCTGGGTGTTACCCAACCTCACCCCCAAACCGCTGCATGTCTGCAGATCCACAGCAGCCCGCATTCTGTTCTGTTTCTGTTCTGGTTTTATTTTTGGTAAAACGTTATGAAACTTCCCACTGTCTGTCTCACTTGAATACTGGGTCCATCAGCGCTGTTTATCAAAAAAAAAAGACAAAATCATAGCTACAATTGATCTAAACAGTTTCACAAGGCTTTCACTGGTTTCATGGAATCTTAAAGGTGTAGTGGAGGATGTTCTTTTTCTGGGTGGATCATCAAAATAAGGGGTCCTCCTAATTGTCAATGATTCTGAAGATCTGTTTACATAAGGCAGTCCTACGTGCTTGTCCCCATTTTCAATTACTGGTGGTGAGTCAGACATAGTGGAAAAATAGAAAATTTTCTTCTGGATAGTAAGCTTCTATGAGTGATGCAAACAGCACCTTCACCAATATCACCAATCAGAGGCCTCCTGTCTGCGGCAGTGTCTGCGGTCACCTACAATTTTGGAGAGGTGCAGCAGAGTGTCTGCGGCAGGGGGGAAGGCACATTTGTATTCACTGCGACACACACACAAACAACCTGGTTTCTGAGTATAAATCAGCCTTCACTCCTGGTTAAAGCTGTTGAAATTTAACTGATTATACAATATTGGATTCATTGCTGTTATTTCATGATTTAATGTAAGCGGCAATACATAATACCTCCACGGCCATTCTGATTTAGATAGCTTTTATCATAATAGATTAAATACTTATAAAAAATTTCAGGTTATCTTGGTTACATTTCAAACTTTTGTTGGTTATAAGGGAACATTTACATTTGAATAAAAAAAAAAAACATAAGATAAATTGTCTTCTTTACATTTATTTTATTTTTTCTTAGAGCATTACCAAAATATTGATAATATATATATATATAAATGGAACAGAAAATATTAACACTCTTTATGCGTTGAAAGGCTCAGAAAATATTTCAAGTCTTGTTTAGATAATGAAATCTTTGGCTATCGTTAAAGGATGAATTAACTACTCTCTCAAAGTACTGTTTTAATGGAATTTTAGATACTTCATTGAGCATGATCTGCAGAAACTAAAACATCACTTTGTCAAGGTTGATAGTGACGCTCAAAGTGAGCAGCATTGCCACACATTGTCCTAAGTAAACACATTATCCACTAGAATGAGCGCACCTTGGCAGCAGCATCAAACGGACTTGCAGGATGAATGAGCATTTACCTGCTTACTTTTAATGTCTTCACCAGGGAGCTCACAGCATTGTTTTTACCTCTTCATTCAGCGGCATGTGGTTCTTATAATCTGAAGCTTTTCTCTTCAGTAGAGAAACATCACAGCCTGTCTCCGTAAATAAAACAGGGCAGGTGTTTCTTTGCACAATCTTTGTGTTTTGAGTTTTTTTTGTTTGTTTTTTTAACATACGGTAACTTGAATTTTCCAGCAGTTGTTCTCAGTTTCCATAAAACCATGTACAGTCATCTTAATTTTCACTGAAACTTCTTAAAATAAAACTCTGCACAGTCATGCAAATCAAATCAAGCATGCAAATGTTACAAATCTATTACTTTGAGTATATTTACTGTAGATCAACCCTCTGAAAGGTGCATTGTAAACATACATTTAATCTTTCTTTTTTTTAATCTCCAAGAATATCAGTTACAGAACATTCTATTTTTAAATCCACCATAAGAAACTTTAGGATAATACTTTATTTACTTTAATATGGGTGTTAAACATTTTTTTCTTTTTTCAGCAGCTCTGTAGATATTTCAAGTAGGTTTCTTTGGAAAAGGAACAAGCATGTGACACTTTTAACCTGCTGTTCTTTTCCAAGTCCCGCATGTTTGACTTTTCTGACATAACATTTAGCTACACGCCTCACTGGTTTACCTTGAGTATGTGTGTATATATATCCACATCTCTTCCTTTATTGTTATGTAATGCAAAACTACATCTAATATTAACTACTGGTGTTAAATCTTATTAACATAATGGGAAAAGAAGTGGAGGTGTTGAAGTAGTATAAATACCTGGACAACTGTGAGATGCAACAGTGATGCTGTTTTCAGGGAGGGACAGAGCAGACTTTACTTTATATGGAAGCTTTAGGACTTCATTGTTTGTATCAAGATGTAATAAGACTTATATATTCTATAAGTCTGTCATTATCTGCCAAGGAAAACAGCAGCAATCGGATAAATAAGGTCAGTTTTTTCTAGAAACTTCTCCAGAACCTCTTGAAATTGTTTCACAAAGAATAACTCTTATTACAATGAAGAACATTTTGAGAGAAAAGTAGGAATCCTCTTCAGAGGAACGTTAATAATAATAATAATAATAATAATAATAATAATACATTTTATTTAAATCCCCTTTCAAGACACCCAAGGACACTGTACAACAAATAAATCAAAATACACAATATCCTTCAATAAGCACTATATCACACAACTAGAGGTTATTCTGTGCTATATTTACCTCTGATGCTCAAATTAGCATTATTATTATTATTATCATCATTTAATTTATCTAAAGTAGTTATTGTTTGAAAGCTTTAATGCAAAGTCATGTGGTTAATGTAACCTGGAGACACTCACACACATAAAGGTGATAATTAGAGATATTTATTGGTGAATCTGACAGTTCTTTGGTGCTCAAACCCCAGCAGAAGACATGGAAGATGCGATCTTGGAGGATCATTGTGAGATTAAGAGATTAGATATGTCTTTCACCAGAATCCGGACACTGGTGGTGGAGTGCAGGAATCTAGAGGGAGATTGAGGCGGATAGCTGAAGACCAGGAGAGTCATTGACTGGAGAGCTTTATGTTGACTGACTGAATGAGGTGATTGGCTGGAGCAGAGGTGCACGATGAGGTGATTGAATGCAGATGATGATTGGATGATTCTTCCAGTTATTAATTTAGTTTATTAAAAGATAATGAGAATCATGAATTATCAGAAGAATGCTGGTTATGATGATCTTTGATTGCTTTTATTTTTTGTCTATGAGATTCGTTTGGCCTTGATTTTTAGGAATGCCTATGTGCAAATTTGTAGTGGTCTCTCTTGATCCTGGCAAGTCAACAATTTAGTTTTCTGTGTTTTACTTCAGTGAAAAGAAGGATAGGCCTTGATGGTACATAAAAGGTAAATGCATGGATGGATGAGATGCAGAGAGGCAAAGAACTTACCAAGCTGACTGAGCGAGGATTCCCAGAATGTTGTTGTTGTATTTGAGACAGAGGTCAGATCTGTATCTAACATTTACTCCCCTATGTGTTTCTCCTAATATTTGCCAGTTTCATAACAGTGTGTTGACATCTTTATGTGAAGAAATAAAATTATATTTGGATTTTGTGTTTTTTTCCTGTTTTACAGTACAGATTAGCCTATGTTTATGTTTTTATTAAACTAGTTTAATAAATTTAAGGGAGTAAACCTACTCACTCCAATAGGAAAATACACTATATTGCCAAAAGTATTTGCTCACCTGCCTTGACTCACATATGAGCTTAAGTGACATCCCGTTCCTAATCCATAGGGTTCAATATGACGTCGGTCCACCCTTTGCAGCTAGAACAGCTTCAACTCTTCTGGGAAGGCTGTCCACAAGGTTTAGGAGTGTGTTTATGGGAATTTTTGACCATTCTTCCAGAAGCGCATTTGTGAGGTCGCACACTGATGTTGGACGAGAAGGCCTGGCTCTCAGTCTCCGCTCTAATTCATCCCAAAGGTGTTCTATCGGGTTGAGGTCAGGACTCTGTGCAGGCCAGTCAAGTTCATCCACACCAGACTCTGTCATCCATGTCTTTATGGACCTTGCTTTGTGCACTGGTGCACAGTCATGTTGGAAGAGGAAGGGGCCAGCTCCAAACTGTTCCCACAAAGTTGGGAGCATGGAATTGTCCAAAATGTCTTGGTATGCTGAAGCATTCAGAGTTCCTTTCACTGGAACTAAGGGGCCAAGCCCAGCTCCTGAAAAACAACCCCACACCATAATCCCCCCTCCACCAAACTTTACACTTGGCACAATGCAGTCAGACAAGTACCGTTCTCCTGGCAACCGCCAAACCCAGACCCGTCCATCAGATTGCCAGATGGAGAAGCGCGATTCGTCACTCCAGAGAACGCGTCTCCACTGCTCTAGAGTCCAGTGGCGGCGTGCTTTACACCACCGCATCCGACGCTTTGCATTGCACTTGGTGATGTATGGCTTGGATGCAGCTGCTCGACCATGGAAACCCATTCCATGAAGCTCTCTGCGCACTGTTCTTGAGCTAATCTGAAGGCCACATGAAGTTTGGAGGTCTGTAGTGATTGACTCTGCAGAAAGTTGGCGACCTCTTCGCACTATGCGCGTCAGCATCCGCTGACCCCGCTCCGTCAGTTTACGTGGCCTACCACTTCGTGGCTGAGTTGCTGTCGTTCCCAAACACTTCCATTTTCTTATAATACAGCTGACAGTTGACTGTGGAATATTTAGGAGCGAGGAAATTTCACGACTGGATTTGTTGCACAGGTGGCATCCTATCACAGTTCCACGCTGGAATTCACTGAGCTCCTGAGAGCGACCCATTCTTTCACAAATGTTTGTAAAAACAGTCTGCATGCCTAGGTGCTTGAATTTATACACCTGTGGCCATGGAAGTGATTGGAACACCTGATTCCAATAATTTGGATGGGTGAGCAAATACTTTTGGCAATATAGTGTATGTAGAAATAAAGCTTTTGATTTTTTTTTTCTGACATGCAGACAGTTTTTACATAAAGGAAGGATAAATATGAACAATCTTTCTTAAAAAAAAAAAAAAAAAAAAAAAAGAACATCACCATGTTGATAATGAAAACATATCTGCACAGTCAAGATTACATGTGAAGAAAAACGTCCCTGAAAAGTGCTGGGTTCCATGTGCAGGATAGGAGGAGTGGCTATGGGAGTGTCCGATGGCTGGACTCTTTTTAAACATGAGCTTGAACTTGAAGATGCTCTGGACCGTAGAGACTGCAGCCAAGGAGTGCGGCGGATCTTCAGGGACACTGAGAAACGAGAAGCACCAAAGATGGGGGGCGTCCAGAGCTTCAGGGAAATGTGTGATCGCACAAAGAATCCTAATGTTCGTATGAGTCTGCCAGCAGTGTGTGTGGTGTGGCAAACTGCTATGATCATCCTGCATGGGGTTTTTATTCGATATGATGAAGAATCAGACGCTCACTGGGTTGAGCACAGAGATCATAAAAATTTGACAGATATACAGAATGACTTCTACTTCAGATATCCAAGTAAGTAAAACTAACTTTTTAGCCTTCTTGTTTTTGTGGTTTAGGAGCTGTTGTTTTTTTCCCTCCTTTCTTAATCAATTCAATAAGTAATATAATTCCTTAAAAAATTAGACATTAGGGTTAAATATCATTTTGACTTAATTCATCATGGATAACATTAAATTAGTGCTGGATATCACATTGTGATGACCTTTCATTTTATTCTGAATTGCTGACAAAGGTCTGACACCTGCAGCAACATATTTCATTCCTCTGTGGTCTTTTCTTATTTTATACATCTCAAATCTCCATGCTGCTTTTTTTTTTTTTTTTTGTCTTAAATGTGTTTGGATTGGGCAGAAGAACATGTATGTGGGACGGTTTCATATAGGTGGGGTTGTTTGTTTATTCTACACTAACCATCTACAGTGTCAATTTAAGGTCATCATGAAAAACAGCTTGTTTCTGCACCTTTACATTACATAACATAAACATACTATCATTTTAGTTGATTGTCTGAAACCAACAGCACTTATGTGTAAAGTCTGGAAACTATGTGTGAAAGCTGAAGCAGCAGGAGATTTTATTATATTTTTTCTTTGCTTTGCTTTTCTATCAGCAGCACCTTGCTGTGTTTATTAAATGCTTTTAGAATGCAAACGATGGTGATTGAGAGGGCAGTGTGGACATATTGTGCCATGACATGTGTCACGCAGATGCGGTGTTGTGCTATAAGCCAAACTGACTGGAATTAGCCACCATCCAATGATTGTTTATGGCTGTTTGTGTTATAAACACAATGCAACTACTGTATATCACATCTTTTTATACAGCTATTCAGTTTTGATATTGTCCAGAAAAAAAACAGTGCTCTTTTTCATTTATCTAATTTTCAATTGCTAGAATTTTGCTACAGATCAATTTCACTTTTTCTTCTTTTTTTCTTGCCTTATCAGTAGCTAAATATATAATTTGATTTAAAAAACACTATTTTAACACTATTTTGTTTTACACTTGTGTAAACAAAATGACAAATAAATCTGTCTAAGTTGAAATTAAATTAGATCCATCACCAGTATGGCTAAATCATTGATCATAGTTTTTTTCATAAAAACATTAATTGCACGGAAGAATAAGCACACCGTGATGTGTTTGTGTCATCTTCACACGATATACCACTCTTATCTAATATGCCCTTATGCCAACCTGCATAGCGGAGGCATGTTGTTATACCAAACGCATTGTGTGGTTTCAACTGGTTCTTTGCTGGGAAATGAAATCATCCATGTGGGTTTTTGTTTAAATTCAGGAAACTGATTTAATAAGAGCTTTAGATGGGTGATTTGCATGAAGCAAAATATAATAAAACGTGCCTTTCTTTTTAGGTGATGGGAAATTAACCTAAGAAAAGATTATGCACTACTAATGCAGGGTCATGTGAACATTCTTCTTAGATGTCTTCTATGATCAACTTTTGAGCTCACTGTTACATTTAGGCAGTGAAAAGGAAACGCGGTAAAAAAAAAAAAAAGGTAAACATTAGAAATATGGAAGTAATGCTGACAATAATCACATTAAAGGTTTACAATCAAGTGTTGCTTTTTTTTTTAGCAACTTATTAATTGATCAAAGTAGGAAATATTTCTAGGAACAACTGAAATGACACACAAGTCTTCACTTTAAGCAAAAGGTAAAGAGTGAAAATAATCAGCTACATTAATATGTATGCACAGTCCAAAAATAAATAATTTCTTCCAACAAAGTTTTTCGCTGCGCTATTATCTCTACTTTGATTGTGAACTTTTTTTGTTGGGTTTAAGGGCTTCGGTTCATTATCCAATTTACAATCCTAAAACAGATATTTCCTGTTAAATACCTTGATACAGTTTAATAAAGTATCCTTTCTCCAGTCACTAAAGGGAACCAGGGTGGTTTATTTTTTCGTGCTTGTAAAAGAGTTTTACGTTGGGTGTAAAGCACTTTGCAAATTTGTCAAAAGAGTCGGTAACTTAGTCGTTTCAAGCATTTTGTCAATGCAAACTTTATTGCAAAATCCTTCCACTGACATCATTCCTCCTCAGACATTATCTTCTGCCTTTCTTTAAGCTCATTTCAGTTATTATGTTCCATATTTTTTGTTATCTCAGTTGTTGATGCAAACAGAAAAAAAAATGTTTACCCATGAAGGGATAGAATAGGCTATGAATAGGCTGTTAATAAAGACATGACCTGACCTTTACCAACCATCAGTATAGGTCAATGGGATTATAATGAGATACAGTATGTCAAAATACATTGCAAGATATAATACAATTTAGCACAAATGAATAGTGTGAGATGCAATACAGTATCGGATGATACGATGGGGTACAATGTAGTTTTCTCCTGTTTTGCATTTATTATTATTATGTTGTATTGTTCATCAACAATGTTTTTTTCCCAGCAAACTTACGTAGTTAAAACAGATGACATGTCTTATTGTGCTGGGAACCACACCCCTACTCTGATGTCCTTTGATGTTCTGAGCTTATTTAAATAAAAAGGTTCCCTAATGTTTTTTGGTCAGGACTAACAGTATTTAGATTAAAAGACAATTATTTTACCTCTAAACTGAATAAGAATCTGACCATATTTTATTAGCATGGACGAAAAAGAAGTCAAATAAATAATTGTTGTCAGTATTTTCTGTCTATTCTTTAAATATTCAACTTTGCCTTCTGATTTCCGTTATGATTCTCACACTAATACAGCTGATTGATAAAAGATTTTAGATCCAGTTTAGACCTTTTTTTTAACCTCTTTTGATCATTTGTTCATATTTTTTCAGGTTTCCAAGATGTACATGTGATGATCTTTGTTGGGTTTGGTTTCCTGATGACGTTTCTGAAGCGTTACAGCTTCGGAGGAGTGGGTTTCAACTTTTTGATTGCCGCCTTTGGCCTCCAGTGGGCACTGCTAATGCAGGGCTGGTTCCACTCCCTGGACTACACAGATGGGAAGATCAAAATTGGAGTGGAAAGGTAAGAGAGCTGTAGCTCATATCTTCTATTTTTAAAGTGTCAGTTTTTCACAGACTTTTGTTGGAAACATATCCTGTGGGAATATGTTTTCACCTGCATAATATCCACAGCTGAAATTAAAAAAAAAGAAGGTGGGGCAACCAGTCTGACTGGGAGATTTCCAAAAGATACTTCCTGTTGTGACGGATGAAGTGTTTGTGGTCACAAGGTCTAATGAGTTATGACACTGCTGAAAATCACCCTGGTCCTTCTGTGTCAAATATTGTGAGAAGGTCGTTTGTGGAGGATGGTTTCAGCCTGACTTTTTTTTTTAACCTAAATTTAACTAAAAATAAACTGCAGTGGATCCTAGTTAACCTGAGTTTGATTTCTTTTTTTTCTCTCTTCAGCCTAATTAATGCAGATTTCTGTGTGGCCGGCTGTCTGATCGCATATGGAGCTTTGCTGGGAAAGGTCAGCCCCGTCCAGTTGATGGTTTTGACTTTGTTCGGGATAACACTGTTTGCTGTGGAGGAATTTATCATCCTAAATCTCATCCATGTAAGTCATCTATTATTATTATTTTTCTTCTCCTTTTTGCTCCTTGTCACCATCAGTAACAAAATTCAGCATTAAAAAATAGTTTTAAATTACAGGAATGCAATTAAGACAGATGTTTTAGAGTATTATTTAATTGAGGGAAAGTAATAAGAGACAAATAATTTTTTACAATCACTGATTTTATTTCTTATGGTGACATAGTGAAGTTTCATCTTATAAATCCACATTTGATTGCAAAATCTTTAACCTCCAACAAAATAAGCCATATTACAAATTTTATGATTTCTGCAGGTCACATAAAATAGTAATGGTTTTAACTGCAGCCATCATTTGGTTGAAATTATACGTTTACCTATTTTCTAGAAATTGATTTAGAAACAATTTAGAAAAAGCCACATGTATGTATTTTTACTTTATCTACATGCTAAATATCAAACAATTAAAAAAAAAGATTTTATATTTACAAGATTTCTTTTAACAATATAAATCTGAAAATTCTGACTCAAATTTGCATTTAGTTCCTGAAATCTTGTAGAAACCTTTTGAGGCTTTGCCTCTGAGCGTTTTGCACAGCTTCAGAATAAATGTTTGATTGAGTTCCTTTCAAAACCCTCAAACTCTTTCAAAATCAGATATAGAAAATCTGTTTTCAAGTGGATTGAATCAGTAGGATGTTGTGTTCTTCCATTTGAACTATTTAGCTTTCAAAGAGATTCGCCTTTAGGTCCTTTGTAGCCTCTTTGAGGTTTTCCTTGAAGCAGTTTCTCTGCCTCTCCTAAAGAAAAGTGTCTCTAAGGCACTGTGGAAAAAAAATAAAACTAAGGGTTTTCTTTTGTCTTTTAATGTCGTTTTAATGTATGCAGTTTTTCATTCAAGTGAAATTCCTTTTAATTTTGAAGGCAAGGGATGCTGGGGGCTCCATGGTTATCCACACCTTTGGAGGTTACTATGGACTCGCCATATCATGGATGCTCTACCGGCCCAACCTGGACCAGAGCTCACGCTTGCACGGCTCTGTCTACCATTCAGATGTCTTTGCTATGATTGGTAAGCTGGGTTTGGCACCAACTGCTTTTAACCCAACGTATATGGAGGTGCTACTTTGACCACTCACGTCACTTTGCCTTTTCTTCACAGGTACCCTCTTCTTGTGGATGTTCTGGCCAAGTTTCAACTCCGCTATAACAGATCATGGCGACGGGCAGCACAGGGCGGCCATCAACACCTACCTGGCTTTGGCTGCAACCGTGCTCACCACATTTGCTGTTTCGAGTCTGTTTCAGAAACATGGGAAACTAGATATGGTAAAAAAAAAAAAAGAGCAGATTTACAAAAGACCCTCTTATCAATAAAAAAAAGAAAAGAAAAAAAAACAGATGTACAATTTCTTGCGGAAAAAAAAAACTGGCACCCTGTTAAAGTTTTAGTATGTTATCATGTTCTTGAAAGGTTAGGTTAGTATACTGACACAAAGTGGTGCTGAAATATGAAATAGAAATAAAATGATATTGTAATTGAAATATGGGGCTTTATTTAAAATGGTATGAATTCAGAGAGGTTCCTCCTGAACTTTATGTAGGCCTACTCTGTAGGCATGGAGGTGGCAGCATTATTCCTCGAGGTTGATTTTTTTTCAGTCAATCTAGGAAAGCTGGTCAGAGTTTATGCTAAATACAGGGAAATGCTGGAGGTCAAAAGCTAAATCATTGCTATAATTGATCTAAACATACTCAAAATCCATTTTACTTCAGGCTATTGGAGTAAAAGAGGATGAATAGCAATCCTGCTAACTTCTTAATTTTATTTATAAAACATTTAAAAACCAATATCTACTTTTCAATTCAAGATAAATACATTCTTAAATTAAAGCAAGTTGGATAAAGCTATTCTAAAAGGATTTAAACTTGGGAACCACTAATGGCCAACATATTTTTGCTTTCTCTAAATGTGTTTTGCATCTTTTTTCCAGGTTCACATCCAGAACTCAACACTTGCTGGAGGTGTTGCAGTAGGAACAGCAGCTGAGTTCATGCTGATGCCCTATGGATCTCTCATCGTTGGCTTCTGCTGTGGTATTCTTTCCACACTTGGATACATATACATCACTGTAAGATATTTGTCTTGTTCATAGTCCACTATAAGTTAGAGTCTTTGATAAGGGTCCACAGTTAATGATTATAATAAACTTCACAAACACCCCTAATGTGAATCCATCAGCCTTTCATGGAGAAATACATGAAGATCCAAGACACATGTGGAATTCACAATCTCCATGCCATGCCAGGGGTTATAGGCGGTATAGTTGGAGCCATCACTGCTGCTGCAGCATCAGAGTCAGTCTACGGCAAGCAGGGGTATGTTTTCAACAAGAACTGATTTTATATAAATATAAAAAAATATTGTAAATTGTTCTGCAAATTTCGAGAGAAATCAAGAGTCTTGTTTTGAATTAAAAGGTTGATCAACACTTTTGACTTTGAGGGGGCTTTCAAGGACATGGTGCCAACGAAGCAGGGAGGTCACCAGGCTGGAGGCCTCTGTGTGGCAATCTGCTTTGGCATAGGAGGAGGCCTGATTGTTGGTAGGGAATGCACCACAGTTTAGATGATATATGGGAACACAATGGGATCACCTTACAGATGTAATGTGCATTTTTACATTAAAAAAGTTTTTTTTATTTTGTGATTCTAGGTGCAATCTTGAGATTACCAATCTGGGGAGATCCTGCAGATGACAACTGCTTTGATGATGAACCTTACTGGGAGGTAAGTGGCGGAAGATTGCAACTTTAAATATATCTCTGCTTTTTAGGTATTTACAATGGATGAAAATAAGTTCTAAAAATGTTACTGTGCAATAATCAGATCTTGTAAAAGACCACTCTTATTTACATATAGCAGCATCGCTTAAATAACCTTTGGATTTCTTTCTTTCATATTTTTTTTATATTACAGCTCCACACTTTAGAGGGTTTTATTGGGATTTTATGAGACCATCAGAAAAAAGACAGGGTGGTCCGGTCATATTTTTATTTATTTTAAAACTTTATGTACATCCTTAATCCTGGTACCTATTTATAAATTACAGTTCCACTAAATAACTTCAGGAGTCACTTTTTTTAAAGGTGCAGTTTGTATTGATTTCATTATAGCAGGATCAATGAAAAACAACGTGATAAAGCCAGCCAAACATGATTAATCATTAAAGAGAAAACAATGTATTCATATGCTACCACTTTATAATTAAATAATACACGTGTACTTTAAGACAATGTATTGTGATACATTTTTATGTTTTTAATTTTTTCTGAAAGAATTAAACCAAATTTTTGTCATATTTACCTTTTTTCATAGATTTATTTCAGGGGGGTGGGGATTTGGCATCAAACAACATGAACTCTGAGTCTCAGGATTAGTTGCCTTGTATTTGTTACATTTTTTTGTTTTGTCTCCAGTTGCCAGAAGACGAAGAGAGCATCCCACCAATCCTGCACTACAACAACCACATGCGGGGCAAAGACGTGTGAGTGTTTGATTCCTTTATCCAGTAATAAAAGAGGATTGTTCCACAAAGCAGCATCATTATATAGTTAAAATGCACTTTGCATTCACCGTCCTCTTGGTGGCAGCAGAGTCTTTTTCATAGAAGCTATGGATCATTGCAGCTTTAAACTTTAAAGGGGATTATTTACCATGAGGAATACTGTGTGAGAACAAGGTGAAGCTGACCAAACAAACAGCTGACATGTTCCTTTACTTCCAAGAGAACTTGTGCTGTTTGTTGATGGGGGTTTCTGTAGAACACCTTCATGTGTGTGACTCCTCAAAGTGACCTTGGGGTTATGCAACAGCCCTCATGTTAACACTGACAACAGATCGACCATTAGCTCATCTACTAATAGTAAGAACAACTCTGGATTTTGATTAAGGTTCAAGGAAGGCTAAGGTTCAGTGGTTTTTCAAGGGTTTATCTTGAATTGTGCATAAATATTTGGAGATATTTTCAACAAATCATGATCCTTAACGTATTTTTTTTTCCATCTTTAGTGCTGACACGCATTTCACCATGGAGCCAGATGCCAGGTCCCGATCATGAATGGCTCTTTGACTCGATCAACTGTTACCCTTTCTTTGATTTCTCTGTTGGACCCAGCTCCCTCTCCAAACAACATGGAGAAGAAATATAAAAAAAAAAAAAAACATTTGAATACTCTGGGTTTGTACCTCATATTGTCTCAACTTAGAAGTATAAGGTAAATGTAATGATATGAGGTTTGTTCTTTTTTTTTTTTTTAAATACTCATGTTCTGTTATTATCTCCAGAGATAAATATCAGTTTTTCATTTTACACAAAAGTAAGACTTCCTTTAAGTTTATAAAAAAAAACTGTAAGTTTCTCTATGTTGTCATTTATTTACAGTCAAAACTTATTCCTTATTTGTCATTTGTTGTTGTTTCTATTTCTTCATGTTGATTTTTTTACTCATTTAAAAAGGAAAATGTTTATTATGTTACTGATTGTGGAAGCCATAGAATAATATAACAGTTAAAAACTAAGTGATGCTGGTTAACTGGTTAAACTTTCCTTTAACTCTGCATATAGTAGTTATATATTAATTTTGTTGATGCTTTATTAAAAAAAAACAATACAATATTCTGGATCCCATTAATTTCTTTCATCTGAAAACTCTCTTTTTGATAATTTGGCTCAAGGCTTTGAAGGCTAATAATGTTTAGAAGCATTTCAATGATATTCTCTATTAAAAGTAAAATGTTAAAGTAAAGTGTTTGCAATTTAAAAGTTGAGGCTTTTGTTAGATACATGTTTGATACTGTTTGAGAAGTTTCTTAAGGCCTATTTGATTAAACGATAAATTGAAAAATGAATGACAAACAGTTCCAAACACAGATGTTTAATTTTATCCCCTTTATTAACAAAAACAAATCCCTTTATTAAGAGGTTTCAATTTTGTTTTAAAGATTTTTTCATAAATATAACTAATCTAACTATAAAAATTCAGTGTGTCCTGGTGTCCTCCTCCCACGTGAGGTCAGAGAGAGGCTAGCAGCCCTCATTCCTCTCCTCGTGACACTGTGGTGACTACAAACAAACTACAGTCTGCAAATCATCCATACTCAGTCAGGAAATAGCAAACTGTACCGTAATCAGGATGCTGAACACGCACTCCGGTGGACAATTATTTTAAAAGCCCTGATCAGAAGAATGAGTCAGAGTTTAAGTATTTTTTTCTGCCCATAAATATGTTGGTTTTATTATAAAAGTGGCTGTTTGCCTCCAAGTGCAATGTTTTCTTTATACATCAGATAGCAGCTCTACTGTAAAGCATTCAGTCATGGTGGCTGCATTTCTGAGCAATCTGCCCCCCTAAAATACTCCTTATGCCGTCCCTCCCCAAAGGCGGCAGTAGCTCGCTGTGGGAGAGTGTGGCTGATTCCCACACATGAGAAACAGGGAGGAATCCGTCTCCTCATACAGTCTCCTTTCCAACAAAGGCAGGCTTAGTGCTGTTTTCTTTTGTCATCAGGAACGTGTTTGAGTAAAGGAGGTAATGGTGCCACAAGTGCTCCAATTAAATGCGATGCAGCCCTGCTGGGAAGAAAGGCTGCTCCGTTGCCCTCTATACTTCCCTCATGTTACACACACACAGAAACTGGGCCTCTTCTTCTTCTACCACCCCCACCCATCCATTTCCCGCCCTAACACCTCTTCATGTTTATTCATAAACCACTTCAGTCTTGCTAAAACTGATATATTTTGAAAATAGACGGGTTTTGCACTGCTGTGGTAAAGCAACTTCGCCTTATGCCGTGGCAGATCCTACCTTCATCTAGGAAGATAGGAGATAAACGGCAAGAAGAGAAGCCACGGAGAAGGTGGGCTGAAAAACTTGAAGACATAAGGGGGCATAAAAAAGAGGGAATGAGGCCTCTCTTTCTTTGCTGATGACTGACTGACTGCCTGACTCAACCATGATCTTTGATTGACAGCAGGAGTGAAGGAGGGAACTAAGAATGAAGGGCAAAGGAATTAAACTTAGAATGGGAACTGCACAAAACATAGTCCATGTTTCGGCCATGGCGCCCATTAATATAAAAGAATATAAGAGGAAAGGAGGAATTTACACAGTTCTGCGACGTGGGAGGTTAATGCTGAAGAAGCTGACGGGGCTTCTATGGGTCATAGTTGGCCTAATTTACGAACCACAATCCAATCTAACAATTGCTTTGTTTTTTCTTGTGTCTTTAGTTGTTCATTACACGTGTGGAAATAACACATTATTATAACCCCCATGAACTGGCTCAGGTTTTACAAGGTACACAGCAGCCAAGGAATATTACAAGCTCTGTGTTCAATCTGCTATAAAATAAGCAATAAAAGCCACTTTGAAAGGAACCAAGAGTCCGTAAACCCGTTAATAAACTATTCAGGCCTTTGCTTGTTTCTCTCTTGACCTAATCTCTTCCCATTTTATGCAGTTAAGGGCCCCTCATAGGTTATCTCTCAGCAGAAAGTCTAAAACTTAAAAAAAAAAACTGTCTGCCATTTGTCTATCTTTTTAGAGTTCTCTCTATGATGAGACTCTTAAACCAATCTTTAAAAAGGTCTCGATAGATTCAATGCCCACAGTAGGGTTTTATGATTGTGATGCATTTTAAATGTAAACTAACAGGTACATGGTTGAGAGTCGACTGTGTCACATTTTTATAAAAAATTATTAAATGTTTGAAAGTTGTGACATTTCAGTTCGTCCCCTGAGGGGTTTTTATGTTTTGAAAAAATCTCCCCATACACAGCAGAAAATATCTCTTTTCTCCACAATCTACATGAATTGCATTTACCAAGATTTTATTTTTTGCACAGAATCTTTAGCAACAGAGGAATGCTGTAAAAACCTTCTGCAAAAGTATTCATATCCTCCTGTATTATGCCACATTTTGTCCGTAGCATAAATATGTTTTATGTGATAGACACAAAAATTGTATACATGTGATGTGGGGGGGAGCAGAAATCTGAAAATTGAGGTTATACTGTAGTTAGTTAACTTTATAGTTAGTCCCCTTAAGTGTTCATATTGCAACTGAATTAAAGTAATTTAATTATGAAATATTGCCTATCTTTGTATAATTAAATATCAGAATAAATAAAAAAAAATGTTCAGTGGTGGCATAATAAAAAAAAAAAAAGTATTAATTTACAAAACCATAAAGATCATGGAACACAGCAGACAGATCAGGGATAAAGCTGTTTGAAAGCAAAATCTAGGTCTTTGTTTTAAAGTTATAACCCAAGCATTGACTATTTAATAAGGCAGTATTCAGGCAGGAGTAGCTCACAGCTTCATGTTCACCCACCTGTACCAACAGGTAAGCAAGGAGATCCATGGTACTCTGTAGGAGCTGAATAGATCCCCAACTCAGGTGTTAAAATCTGTTAAAAGGACTTATTATAATCCTGCACTTCACTAATTTTTGTCATAATGAAATAGTGGCAAAGAAAGATGGCTGTTCAGTCGCCAACAGGAAGCCATAAAAAGTCCCATATTAAGGCTAAAATCTATTTTCTTTGCTTACATGCACAATGCTGTGTGGATGGGAAGGAAAACTGCACGTCATGCTGGCTGGAGAATCCTGACTGCGACATATCATGGTGGTGGCATCATGCATATCAGTTGCATAATACTCGTTTAAGATTTGTATTTGTAAAGTAATTTTTACCTAAACTCTTCACATGCTAAACTGTGACAGAATTCAAGAATTATAAAACTCTTTAATGAAAAAATACAAGAGGTTACCTGTATAAAGTTACAGTTAGACTTAGACAAACTTTATTGTCAGTTTGTATAAAGAGTGTGTATACAAAACAAACAAAACAAAATTTTGTTTTGTATAGCTCTAATGAAATTTCCATTTCTTAAAGTGAAGCAGAGATCAAATGTAAACATTGTGAGAGAATAAAAATGGTGCAAAAAAACCCCCCATTGATATGGTCAGTTTGAGTTTGAGGTCAGTTCTGGTAGTAGTGACAAGAATGTCTCTAAAATCAGACTGCGATAGAAAACTATTTTACAATTTCGATTTTTCAATTACTATCTTGCTATGCCTGCCTTTATTTTTGAAAAACCTCCTATGATTCCTATGAGAGTTCTGCTGAAAACCAAATCAGAACAATATAACATTATTAGTAGTCTAAGCTTAGACAGAAAAGTGCTAAATTGAAGCATTTCTTAAACATTTACTAGTCTGATGATGTTGAAAGTTAATGAGATAGTTGAGAAGTTTCTATTCCTCTCCTGTTTCTCCAGCTTTATCCACTATCTCCAGGAACTCCCCACGCCACAGAGGCTGCTTAAGTGTCCCTATCGGACCACAGTGGTGAAGAACAGCAGATTAAGCATGATCCTATCTGCTCACTGCTAGCCCCTTCATACGCTCCGTTACACTGGCTTTTAAAAGGAGGTACTGATGCCATTCAGGCCTGTGATATGAATCCCAGACGTGGGGACAAGGACAGAGCGTTCACCCCTATTTCACAGAAAGGAGCCCCCTTTCTGTCACCCTCTAATTCTGGTTGCTACGGGGCTTCTGGGTTCAATGGCAGACACCCGTTGTGAGGGGGACAAAGCCTCTCAGTCATCAGGCAATGGTTGCCAGGGGAGGCAGAATGTATGGGGAGGGACGGGCTGCCGCTATCCCAGGCGAAATGTCTCTCTTAAGACAGCAGAGATTTGGTGATTGACAGGTAGCTACACGCTCCACTGCAGATCCCCCCGTGGGGCCAGTGGTCTGTGAGGCCTCGGATCTGTGACCATGAATGTGAGTTGCAGGCTGAGTGGGGTTGCAGGATGGTCACACTGTATGAGCAACAGTGAAAAAGCTTCTTTCTACCTGCAGAGGGCGCCACTTTCTGCATAAGGATGAAAGCTCTCTGGTGAAGATGTAATGGGAAGTCATTTGTATTAAGGAATATATTTCTGTTTTCTTTCTGTTCTTTAAACTTAAAATAATCGCATTTATTCTTACATCAGGAAAAAAGTAATCTGAGTTAATTAAAGACAGTTTTAAAATAATTACTTTTTTTATCAAGAGAAAACATAGATATTGGTCACTCCCCAATCCCTCCAACCTACCTCACTCATTAAAATATGACCAGACTGTATTAATCATCTGCATTTATTCATGTGTTTGTTTTTCATTTTTCACTTTCTGGTGCCAAACATATCCACGCAAGAAATGTAGACTCAAGAGCTCACTTTATTAGAACCTGTCTTGCAACACGAGTGCTAAAATGCTCTAAAAACTAATATAACTTACCTTAAATTAAATTAAAGAAATCAGAAATGGGGTCCTACAGGGTCAGATAACGATTGCTGAGCAAAAAGGACACAAATGACTGCCTCATAATTACCTCTAAATATCATGTCCAACAACAATTGGTGTAAAACTAACACAGTATTTCAGAGAAAGATCATACTTACGTCCAAACATGGTGGTAGTATGATGGTCTGGGGCTGCTTCTGTGCTTTAGCAGCTAAACGGCCCGCAGAGATTGAGGGAACTGAGAATTTTTCCTTCTGCAAGACAATACTGAAGAAGAACTTTGTGTTATCAGTTCTTTACTTTAAGCCCAACA